AGTTGATCTAGAGGCCAAACCATGAAGAAAAAACTAAACCTCGTGAAAATGGGTTGAGTTTTGACCGAGATATGGGGGTGGGAAATTTTGACCTATGTCTACATTGGATATTTGAGGGTCTCATTTTTACATGAATTTCGACCAAAAAATATGTTCCCAGATTTAAATGCAAAGTTGATCTACTGGCCAAACCATGAAGAAAAAACCAAACCTCGTGAAAATCGGTTGAGTTTTGACCGAGTTATGGGGGTAGGAAATTTTGACCTATGTCTACATTGGATTATTGAGGGTCTCATTTTTACATGAATTTCGACCAAAAAATATGTTCCCAGATTTAAATGCAAAGTTGATCTAGAGGCCAAACCATGAAGAAAAAACCAAACCTCGTGAAAATCGGTTGAGTTTTGACCGAGTTATGGGGGTGAGAAATTTTGACCCATGTCTATATGGAATTCGGAGGGTAATATTTGACATGAATTTCGACCAAAAAATATGTTCCCAGATTTAAATGCAAAGTTGATCTAGAGGCCAAGCCATGAAGAAAAAACCAAACCTCGTGAAAATCGGTTGAGTTTTGACCGAGTTATGGGGGTGAGAAATTTTGACCCATGTCTATATGGAATTCGGAGGGTAATATTTGACATGAATTTCGACCAAAAAATATGTTCCCAGATTTAAATGCAAAGTTGATCTAGAGGCCAAACCATGAAGAAAAAACCAAACCTCGTGAAAATTGGTTGAGATTTGATCGAGTTATGAGGGTGGGACATTTTGACCTATGTCTACATAGGATTTTTGAGGGTATCATTTTTACATGAATTTCGACCAAAAAATATGTTCCCAGATTTAAATGCAAAGTTGATCTAGAGGCCAAACCATGAAGAAAAAACCAAACCTCGTGAAAATCTGATGAGAATTAACCGAGTTATGAGGGTGGGAAACTTTGACCCATGTCTATATGGAATTCGGAGGGTAATATTTGTCATGAATTTCGACCAAAAAATATGTTCCCAGATTTAAATGCAAAGTTGATCTAGAGGCCAAACCATGAAGAAAAAACCAAACCTCGTGAAAATTGGTTGAGATTTGACCGAGTAATGAGGGTGGGACATTTTGACCTATGTCTACATAGGATTTTTAAGGGTATCATTTTTACATGAATTTCGACCAAAAAATATGTTCCCAGATTTAAATGCAAAGTTGATCTAGAGGCCAAACCATGAAGAAAAAACTAAACCTCGTGAAAATGGGTTGAGTTTTGACCGAGATATGGGGGTGGGAAATTTTGACCTATGTCTACATTGGATATTTGAGGGTCTCATTTTTACATGAATTTCGACCAAAAAATATGTTCCCAGATTTAAATGCAAAGTTGATCTACTGGCCAAACCATGAAGAAAAAACCAAACCTCGTGAAAATCGGTTGAGTTTTGACCGAGTTATGGGGGTAGGAAATTTTGACCTATGTCTACATTGGATTATTGAGGGTCTCATTTTTACATGAATTTCGACCAAAAAATATGTTCCCAGATTTAAATGCAAAGTTGATCTAGAGGCCAAACCATGAAGAAAAAACCAAACCTCGTGAAAATCGGTTGAGTTTTGACCGAGTTATGGGGGTGAGAAATTTTGACCCATGTCTATATGGAATTCGGAGGGTAATATTTGACATGAATTTCGACCAAAAAATATGTTCCCAGATTTAAATGCAAAGTTGATCTAGAGGCCAAACCATGAAGAAAAAACTAAACCTCGTGAAAATCGGTTGAGTTTTGACCGAGTTATGGGGGTGAGAAATTTTGACCCATGTCTATATGGAATTCGGAGGGTAATATTTGACATGAATTTCGACCAAAAAATATGTTCCCAGATTTAAATGCAAAGTTGATCTAGAGGCCAAGCCATGAAGAAAAAACCAAACCTCGTGAAAATCGGTTGAGTTTTGACCGAGTTATGGGGGTGAGAAATTTTGACCCATGTCTATATGGAATTCGGAGGGTAAAATTTGACATGAATTTCGACCAAAAAATCTGTTCCCAGATTTAAATGCAAAGTTGATCTAGAGGCCAAACCATGAAGAAAAAACCAAACCTCGTGAAAATCTGATGAGAATTAACCGAGTTATGAGGGAGGGAAACTTTGACCCATGTCTATATGGAATTCGGAGGGTAATATGTGACATGAATTTCGACCAAAAAATATGTTCCCAGATTTAAATGCAAAGTTGATCTAGAGGCCAAACCATGAAGAAAAAACTAAACCTCGTGAAAATCGGTTGAGTTTTGACCGAGTTATGGGGGTGAGAAATTTTGACCCATGTCTATATGGAATTCGGAGGGTAATATTTGACATGAATTTCGACCAAAAAATATGTTCCCAGATTTAAATGCCAAGTTGATCTAGAGGCCAAACCACGAAGAAAAAACTAAACCTCGTGAAAATCGGTTGAGTTTTGACCGAGTTATGGGGGTGAGAAATTTTGACCCATGTCTATATGGAATTCGGAGGGTAATATTTGACATGAATTTCGACCAAAAAATATGTTCCCAGATTTAAATGCAAAGTTGATCTAGAGGCCAAACCATGAAGAAAAAACCAAACCTCGTGAAAATCTGATGAGAATTAACCGAGTTATGAGGGAGGGAAACTTTGACCCATGTCTATATGGAATTCGGAGGGTAATATGTGACATGAATTTCGACCAAAAAATATGTTCCCAGATTTAAATGCAAAGTTGATCTAGAGGCCAAACCATGAAGAAAAAACTAAACCTCGTGAAAATCGGTTGAGTTTTGACCGAGTTATGGGGGTGAGAAATTTTGACCCATGTCTATATGGAATTCGGAGGGTAATATTTGACATGAATTTCGACCAAAAAATATGTTCCCAGATTTAAATGCCAAGTTGATCTAGAGGCCAAACCACGAAGAAAAAACTAATCCTCGTGAAAATCGGTTGAGTTTTGACCGAGTTATGGGGGTGAGAAATTTTGACCCATGTCTATATGGAATTCGGAGGGTAATATTTGACATGAATTTCGACCAAAAAATATGTTCCCAGATTTAAATGCAAAGTTGATCTAGAGGCCAAACCATGAAGAAAAAACCAAACCTCGTGAAAATCGGTTGAGTTTTGACCGAGTTATGGGGGTGAGAAATTTTGACCCATGTCTATATGGAATTCGGAGGGTAATATTTGACATGAATTTCGACCAAAAAATATGTTCCCAGATTTAAATGCAAAGTTGATCTAAAAGCCAAACCATGAAGATAAAACCAAACCTCGTGAAAATCGGTTGAGATTTGACCGAGTTATGGGGGTGGGACATTTTGACCCATGTCTATATGGAATTCGGAGGGTAATATTTGACATGAATTTTGACCAAAAAATATGTTCCCAGATTTAAATGCAAAGTTGATCTAGAGGCCAAACCATGAAGAAAAAACCAAACCTCGTGAAAATCGGTTGAGTTTTGACCGAGTTATGGGAGTGGGAAATTTTGACTCATGTCTATATGGAATTCGGAGGGTAATATTTGACATGAATTTCGACCAAAAATGATGTTGGCAGATTTAAATGCAAAGTTTATTTACAAGTCAAACCTTGAAGAAAAAACCAAACTTCGTGAAAATCGGATGTGATTTGACCAAGTTATGGATTTAGGAAATTTTGACCTATATAGGATACAAGCGAGTATACCCCGGCCTTGTCCGTAGCTCGTATTTATTAAATAATTCATTATTTCTCTCAAAGAAAAATTGCAGAATCCAAGTTTAAATGATCCTTTATTTCTCTAAACTCTTCTCTTATCTTCCTCAATATAATCTTTTGACCTTGAAATTTTCTGCCTGCTTTTGCAAGAGAGCTTTTCTTATGAACTTCGAGCTTTGTCTTCTTAAAAAAATAAAACTCATTCGTGTTTTATCAAGTCTTTAAAGGGCGCCCGTAGTTTCCTTATTCCGCTCCTGTCGCTGCGTTTGGCTGCTTGCATTTGAAAGGAACTTTAACCTCTCAACACTTGGTCGAGTGTCGCTGCTTCGAAGCGATTGCAATGTGTGGCTCTAATGGTTGTAATAGCTGTAATTTTTGTTGTTGTTGTGCAAATTTGCATACTCCGCCGCAGTGTGTGTGCGAGTGGGTGTGTTGTGGTTGGTGGGGGCGTCAAGTTATTGGCAAGTCAACCGACCTAACCCCACCCCACCTCGCCTTGCCTCGCCTCGTCTCGACACACCCTGCCTCTCTCTTTGGCCAATCGTCGAATCGATTATGGAGCTGTTGCATGCCACGCCCACCACGCTAACTGGCCAGCACTTGCTGCTTGCTGTTGATTCAGTTGCTTCACTTTCAACAACACTTCAGCAATTTGTTTCGGCACGACTTTAGCTCCGATGTGGGTCAGCAGCAGCAGCAGCAGCAGCAGCTCGTTTGTTAGTCCTGTCTCAAGCGAAATTAAAAGCAAATAGCTGCAATGAGCCTCAGGGCAGGCAGGCAGGAGGATTCCCTTAGCCTGATAAGCGGCAATTTGGCCAGCAGCAGCAGCAAGACGCATGCAACAGCAGCAGCAGCAGCAGCTGAAACGGCAACTGGCGGGCCAATCCATAACAAAGCGCCATGTAATTATCAATAGAATCAACAGCATGGCGCAGAGTTTTGCTGCAACCGCAGCCATTGTTTATTTTTTTTTTTTTTATGCAGCTTGCTGCCCCACGGCGCGTGGCACGTGCTTCCTGGAAAACGATAATATAATAAGCTGCTGCTGCCGGCTTCCCGCTGCGGCAGCTATAAAAAATAACATTAAAAAGTATTTACTCAGCAGCATCCCCTGGCTAGGGGAGTGGCAGCGGCAAGTGCAGCATGTAATGCCACATAATGGCTGTGGCTATGGCCACCAAAAGGAGCTCCACATGTTGCTGATGTTGGCATGTTGTCCCTTTGAATGTTATGCGTGCCATCTGGCAAATCCTCCCGTAAGTAACGCCCTATTTTCTCTGTCCCTGCAGACGCGTGCACATTACGAAGGAGACGCTCAAGTGTTTGGATGGCGATTACGAGGTGGAGGCTGGCAAGGGAGCCGATAGAAATTCCTATCTCAAGGATCATCAGATTGAGACATATCTGATAGTGCCGGGCGATATCTACAGGCCGGTGAGTATCGACAAGGATAATAGTTGCTCAGCCATAACAAGCTGCTTTCCATTGAACCTGTAGCACAAGAAGTCGCGCAATCGCCTCCAGGTAAATGGCAACATATCCAAGGAGCTGCGCATGATGGGCCATGGCACAGCACAGAAGCACACATCCAAGTAAGTGGCGTTATATCCTCCTTTTTACTTTATGGACTCGACTGGGAGGAAGTGAACCATGTGACCAAGACTTTCAGACAGCCACGACAAGAAAGATAGCCTTGAAGCTGGAAACTGAAGCAGCCACAACAAGCCCGTCAAATAAATCACTTTCTCTTGCAGATTCGGATTTGGTGACAGCTCGGAGAGTCACAAGGATCCCGAGGATGAGGTCAATGAGTACTTGATGCGCGCCATCGATGCACGGAGCATAGATCATTTGCGGGCCGAGCACTGCCAGTCGCTGTTGCTCTGCTTCAAGAGCGCCGCGCTGGAGCACAAGGTGAGTCGAGAGGCGCCATTCGCTTGGCCCTGGCTTAACCCTAATCTCCTGTACTTTAACGCAGTATGCCAGCGAGCCGGATCGCATGCTTTGCGTTTATTTCTACTGCAGTCTCCTCGTGCTGCTGGGCACCACACTTATGCGCTTTGCGGTTTTTGACACGTGAGTGCTTTATGATTATTTTATAGCAGGCTCTAAGTGCATAGTGTAGCGCATAATCCGTGATGTTGTTGTCGGGCAAACCATATTCATATTTCAACTGATTTCTCCTCTAGCTCCACACTCTGCCTGGCGCTGTCCATTGGCGCTTTGCTGCTGCTGCTTTTGTTGGTCTTCCTGATGGCCTGTCACAAAATCAATTTGCAGGTAAGCAAAATCGTTTCTAGTCTATTCTCCACACAAGCAACCCCTGCACAGCTTATGCGAATTTAGACAGGTAATTTATAACACATTAAAGGAGATCTCTGCGAGCTCATTAAGTACTGGTACATATATTCGTGGGGAGCAGCCCTTACTGACTTGATAGAGCTATGCCCATCCGTGTTTCTGTTTTTATGCCAACTCATGTCAGTTTTGAAGATATCCTTGTAAAGGTTTGTCTAATTATTCTAGGCAGTACATAACTTGAATTCGACTGCAGTTGACAATTATATAATAGATAGATGCAATCGGAATAATCGGTTGAAACTTTACTTCTTATATGAAACACTTATTCAGCTTTCATATATACTTTGATAAATATTGACATTTAAAGGGCTTTACCGTACCTCTTACAAATTAACATTATATTTTTATGATATCCAACTTCTACATCATATATCTCTATAGGAAAAAACTTTCATAGAATAAGATTTGTAAGCCAAACTCTTCTGTTTCGTTAAGATATCTTGGTCAAACCAAGCAATTGCAAGGTTTACTCTGACATATATGCAAAGCCTAATCATATGGCTTCTATAAGTAATCAAATAAGAAGAGTATTTGGTATTTGGCTGAAGAAATCCTTTTTTGTTTTATTATATCGTATATATGTTTCCAGGTTCTTTAGTCTTCTTCAGCTCGCGGATACTCAGCCAGCTTTTGTACTATAATTTGATTTATTTCAGCTGCCCATCGTGATAAAGCGCTTCTCATTGCGTATTCACAGCAATCGCACCTTGTCACAGTTCTTCGCCTTTGCCACCGTCTCGCTGATTGTTTTGACCACGTTGCTGGCCATGGTAAGCGGTAATGAAGCTCTTAAGTTGTGCTTTTAGTTATAATAACATAAACAATGTCCAAATCCCCGAAATGCCAGTTTCTTGTTTTATGCATAATTTGCGCGCGCAACAAATTGCGGCCATATCTATAAGAGTCGGATCTTACAAGTTGCCAGGTTGCCTTGTGCTTCTTTTTTTTTTCTTGGCCCATTTAAGTGAACTTCAAAATAATAAAAATGAAATTTACGTTTTGTAGCTCAAAATACAATTTTTGAGGGCGTTTGCCTGAGCCAACTCAATGCGGTTGCTTTTGTTGTTGTCGTTGTTGTTGTTGTCTTTGGGACGCGACAAAACAAAAGTTTTTCCATTAAAGTTGGGCAGACAACGCGACAAGCAACAGGAGCGAGGTAGGGTGTTGGTAGGCTGGCAGGCAACAAAAATGCCAGCCACGTTTCATACATGAAGTGTGCCCCATTTATGTGCTACTTGTTACCTGCCACATGCCCCCAAGGCAGCGCGTCTCTGGGTTCAAAGCCTCCGTCAGCGCTTTGACATTTAGTTGTCAACTTGTGCCCCACTCCTTCGCTCCCTGTTGCCACACCATTTCTTGGCTTACTCTGTATCTTTATCGGCCACGTTTAATGGCACTTGCGAGCCGCATTCGCTATTCATTTAGCCACGTCTTTTTTTTATTGCCAGTGGCTGAGAGTGCGTGTTAGGCGCCTCGTTAAACTCGAAGCACTGTTAAATGGCATTTCCAGGTGACTTGGCCGTGCTGCTAATTAGCCTCCAATTGTAATCGCTGCCTTCTATATAGCTGCAGGAATCAATGCGTCAACTGGAGCTGCTGCATAATGAATGGCTCATTCTGCAATTCAACGTCAGCGAACTGGAACGGACGAAGCTGGGACTGGAGCCAGAGCAGCAGCTGCTGCCTGAGGAACGCTGTGATTTCTATTTGGCCTACAATGTAAGTTGTGATACCCTATAAAGAAGGGGGAAGGGTAGCATCTATAGTGTATATATGTATATATTATTGGTTAACCAAAGCAAAATAACCCTCTCCGTCTGTCTGTGTGTAGCCCGTAGACTCAAGAGAAGGCCTCTTTAATTAAAATAGCTTAAGACCTCGATAACTCACTCACTCAAACCGATAAATATCAATTGTTAAGCACGGGTTTCTTTCAATATCTCATGAGTTTGAGATACTAAAGCTGATATAAAGTATTTACCATGCGCAGCCAAGGTTTATCATATCCTTCCGATAACTAACATGATTTCTGCTAAATCGATAAATATCGATAACTCACGTACTTTCTCCTTAACCTATAAATATACATTATTTTGCACAGATATTATTATATTCGTCCGATAACTCACATGATTTCTGCTAAATCGATAAATATCGATAACGAATCTGGCTTTTTGATCATGTTGAGTCTAACGAAAAATACAGAAGTCTCAAGAGTAAACTTTCTTTAAAAATGCCAAAGAAAAGAAGAACTACACTCGGTGTATAAAACTATCTCATCCAGCAGTTGGGCACAGAGTATTTCCTAGTCGGGCACGCTCAACTCAGCCAGAGCACTCTTTTTAAGAAATGCATTCCATGTCTTTGCCTTGTTATGTGTACACATATAGAGATTTAGATAGCATTACTTTTATTTTATCTTGTTGCAGACATTCCTGCTGTTAACGCTGCTCTCGATGATGTGCTGTGCCACGTACCAAGTGCTGCGCATCCTGTTGAAGCTGCTGCTGCTCCTCTTGGCCGCCGGCAGCTACATGGCCTGCTCCTCATATTTGTATATGAGCAGCAGGGAAATAAGCGCCGACTTGGCGTAAGTATCCGGCTCCCCCTCCCTCTCTCTCTCTCTCTCTCTCTCTCTCTCTCTCTCTCTCTCTGTCGGTTGAATGAAAACGAATTATGCTGTAATATAATTTGGCGCAGTTGCCTCTGACCTCCCCTCTCCACTTCTCCCGGTTTTTCCTGGCTGGCACAGCTGAAAATGCTGAAAATGCATTTAGAGCAGCCGCAAACTGCATTAAAATTGTATTTAGCACTTGGCGTTGGCTTCATTTATCAGACAACCGGCTGAGACTTGGCTTCCACAACAACTACAACTACAACAACAACAACATTCACAACATTCTGTTTCTTATTACACATTTCGCTGCCTGGGCTCTGCTCCACATCTACGTTCACCTCCTCCCGCTCGTACTTCTGCTGCGTCTTGGCATTGCGCTTTAATGGACTGGAATAACTTGGCCTACTGCTGCAATTGTTGCTCTGGCTCTATCTAGCAATGAGGAGGCCCTGCTGCGCTATATAATTGATTCAATCTTCCTATTTGCATTCATGCTCGCCCTGATCTTCCACAGTCACCAAACGGAGGCCACCTACCGCTTGGACTTCATCTGGAAGCTGCAGGCAACTGGTAAGTTTCGGCGTCATCTACATTTTCGGCTGCTAATTAGCAATTGCAACTGCAAAGTTATAGTCGACTGACTGACTCTACAACTGACAGTTTCTGTCAGACAATAACAACAACTTGCGCCCACTTTCCGCCCCTTTTGAAAAGTGGCAACATTCGCTGGCTGTTGCCAGCGCGTTGCTGCTCATCTTCTGCGTTTCCGTTTGTTCTGTTGTTCAAAAGGATTTTCATTAGTATTAGTAAACACACACTCACACTCGCACACACTCGCACTTGCACACACACGCAAGAATTCACACACCCCACATACACACACACACACACATACAGCCGCTCACTAATACACTCGAACAATCACAATCGTGTTTGACTGGCGCCTGAGCTTATGCATCGCTTTTTTACGCTTCTCTTTTATGCCCCATGTGCAGAGATATCAATGCGGGTATATTGGGCTTGTAAAGTCAGTTTGTCTGTCTGTCAAATTTCAAATAATTGTTTGTATTGAAACACGCAACAGATCAGATACTTAGTAAAATTATAAATTCTATTTATTTATCTAGAAAAGTATATAAAATATGGAGTTCTGATAATCCGCTTGGATTTTACAAATAATATAATTTAATAATATTTTACAATAACGTATTCGAATAATCTCCTTATTTTTTATTATCAAAATTTTGATAAAACTAGAAGGATCATGTTGTCAGTTCTTATCAGATAGCCTCAGTTGCCAGTTTTACCTAAACAATTAGTTTAATAGCTTATGATATATAATATTTAATAATCTTTATACAATTAAAGTATTATTTAGACAAGCTAAAATGATCAAATTTCAACAAATTGAATAGGACCGTCAGCTTCGACATCCTTTAGACATTGACAACTTGACAACTCATCTAAGACAACTTATCTTACGAAACAGTTTCCTTTCTTAAGCATTTCCTGCACTGTAGAAAGGGTATCTCTTGGTCGTGCACTGCCGTCTGCTGTATGCTCGTATATTTTTGTAATTTTTTTGCCGAACGCCTTACGCTTCGGTTAACTGATAAACTGATATTTCAATTTCACGCTCCTGTTTTTTGTGTTTTCTTGCGCGTGTTTTTTTTTCTTTTTTTCCTTTTTTTTTCATACATATCTGGAACACGTGTTCGCTTTCGTAACGCGCAGAGGAAAAAGAGGATATGGAGCATTTGCAGGCTTATAATCGTAAACTGCTCGAAAATATTTTGCCCGTACATGTCGCTGAGCATTTTCTGAGCCGCGAAAAGCACCTCGATGTGAGTATTAAATATATGTGTATAAATACTTGTGTATGTGTGTGTGTGTGTGTGTGTCTGTGTGTGTGTTGCAAGTTTGGTTGCTGGCAATTTGCAATGTATTTAAAAGCTTGAAAACTTTTGTGCCTAGCAACAAGGCCAACTGCAGAGGTCGTTTGATAAGTATATACCAGCCCCCACACCTGCCGCGCCCCCTGGCTTTGGCACAGCCTCCGTCTCCGCCTCCACCTCCACCTCCGCCTTGTTATGCTACTTTTAATGCTGCCACATATGCCCGCTGGCCGCATACATGTTGCGGCTTGCAACGGTTCAATGCGCAACGGGCACACGCACTGTGCCGTAGTCGGGGAGGGGGGGGGGGGGGGCGCTACTTGCCACATTAAGTGTGCAATCAACAACTTTTAACCAAATCACATGAGCAGCCACACATTTGGGAACCGTCGACGTGTGGTCTGCTATACCCTGTGTGCGGCTGGCTGTGTGTGCTCTGGACAAGAGTTGACCGCGTTTCGTGTTTTCTTTCGTGATGTAAGCTAGCCGCATCGCAAGTGTTTCTTCCAATAGTCCTATAAATCTCAAAAAAAATCGGAAGAGAAGAGCTTCCGCCGTGAATATAAGAATGCGATAGAAAGGCGATATCACCAACAATACGCGACTCCTACAAAACGAATCGCATTGTGATCTTCCGTAATATATAAATATCTCAATCCCAAGCGACATCACTATTGCTTCTTCCTCTATGTAAGCCGAATCGCTTTCCTATCTCCCAAGCGACACTCTTGTATTTAAACGAATTGTTTATGCCTGATTGAATACGCAACACGCTTTAAACCTTCAAGAGTTCTGCTCGGCTTAATTACATTTTTCCCATTTGACCGCTTTTGCAGGATCTCTATCACGAGCAATGCGATTCCGTTTGCATTCTCTTTGCCAGCATACCGAATTTCTCCGAGTTCTACGTGGAGCTGGAGGGCAACAATGAGGGCGTCGAATGCCTGCGGCTGCTCAATGAGATAATTGCCGACTTCGATGAGCTGCTCAGTGAGGAACGTTTCCGGTAAGTTTTGTTGCTCTCTTTTGAGATTTTCAGGTTGTAAATTTAATTGTGTAAAATCATGTCAAAAATGACCAAGAAGTTGCCGAGTCTCTAGTCAATGCCCTGCTCAGACTTCAACTCCCAAACTTATGTCAAGAGTGAACAAATATTCATGATTGATTACATTTTGGTCATAGTTTGACCTCAGGATCAATTCCGTAGTAGCTGACCTGGATTATATTTTAACAGTTGCATTGAGAAAATCAAGAGCACCGGCGCCACATACATGGCCGCTTCTGGCCTGACGGCGAACACCTGCGACCAGGTGAACTTTAGCCATGTCACCGCAATGGCTGACTATGCGCTGCAGCTGTTCGACAAGATTGAGGAGGTCAACATGCATTCCTTCAACAACTTTCGCCTGCGCATAGGTGAGCATTAGCCCAAAAAAGTATGTTTAAAACAAAAGGAAAAACTTTATCGAATTTTATTTCTTTTGTTTGCCTGCAGGCATTAATATTGGTCCCGTCGTTGCGGGCGTTATTGGCGCCTGCAAGCCCCAGTATGATATATGGGGCAATGCTGTGAACGTGGCCTCGCGCATGGACTCCACGGGTCTGGTGGATCACATACAGGTGAGTTGAATGAACGGCGGTTCACCTTTTTGGGGCGGATTTTTTCTTGCGGATTTCTTAGCCTGCCAAATGTCACTTTAAAAAATAAATTAACAAGAGAGCTCAAGGCGTGAGTGCGCGACTATTAGATACCCTGCTTTAAAATGAGATACTTAAGAATATGCAATACGGGCACACAAGACAGAATACGGGCACACACACATACATACACGCAGTCCATTATCTAAGAGCAATATATTTTTAAGCAGCTTTTGTGTTATGATTATGAATATTACTATTATTATTATTATTATCATTATCATTATCATTATCATTATCATTATCATTATCATTATTATTATCATTATCATTATCATTATCATTATCATTATCATTATCATTATCATTATCATTATCATTATCATTATCATTATCATTATCATTATCATTATCATTATCATTATCATTATCATTATCATTATCATTATCATTATCATTATCATTATCATTATCATTATCATTATCATTATCATTATCATTATCATTATCATTATCATTATCATTATCATTATCATTATCATTATCATTATCATTATCATTATCATTATCATTATCATTATCATTATCATTATCATTATCATTATCATTATCATTATCATTATCATTATCATTATCATTATCATTATCATTATCATTATCATTATCATTATCATTATCATTATCATTATCATTATCATTATCATTATCATTATCATTATCATTATTCATTATTCATTATTTATCTTATTTCTAATATGTCAAGTCAAAATTGTCGAATTAAATTAGACTTTCAGTCACAGGGTATTCAATGAAAACTTGTCAATGGCTGTTGCCGTAGCCACGCCCCCTAATCAATAGCTGACCAACCAGGAGCAGCAGGCGAAATGGGCAACAGGCTGCGCTTCGCTCGCACGCATTGCGTATACGCCATGTACGCCTCATACAATTTTCATGGGCATTAGAAAGTGCCCACGCACTGAAACTTAAACACAAACACATATACACTAGACTACACACGAACATATACACACACAGCTGCAGCTTTTGATTTTATTTGCCGTGCGTCGTCGATAAAAGCGAAGCGCATGAAAATTTGCAAAGAGAAATAAATTATTAAGCGGACAAGGGATAAGACGATAAGAAAGGGCGGGCGTGGCAGAGTGGCAGGGCGGCAGGGCGGCAGGGTGGCAGGTGTTGGTCTGAGTTTTATCATGAAATATTGAGCACAGGTTTTGCCACTGATTGTCTGTATGTGTGTGTGTGTGTTCGTGTGTGTGTGAATAAAGTAAATGCTGCCGCATGCGGTGCCAATGAACTTGTCACTTTGAATTTATTTTCTTATCTCTCTCTCTACCTCTTCCCCGCTCCCCTTTTACTTTGTTTGCTGCCAAATGAAATCAACACCTTTTCACGGCGTCCAGGTGACCCAGGAGATGCAGCAGCTGCTGGAGTGCCGCGGCTATGAACTCACCTGCCGCGGCAGCGTCAATGTCAAGGGCAAGGGTTCGATGATAACCTATTTTCTCAAGGGCAAGGCGGAGCTGCCCGCGCCGCCGGAGCAGCCCGCGCCCACAGTCGCCATGGAGCAGGAGACGGCAAAAGAGGCGCCGGCAGAGACAACGCCGGAGGCGCCGCCAGCCATAGAAGCCACGGCAGCCGTAGAGGCACAACCACACCAGGAAGAGGAAGATAACAATGATGATGATGAGGACGACGACATTGATCTCAACTCGAACATGCAAAACTTGACCGCACAACGCCGCAAATCTCTCTGCCGGCAGCACAACATCTCCTCCTCGTTCGGCACCAATGTCAGCTCCACGGGCATTACTCCCAGCATCTCGAACAGCTCCAGCGTGGTGACTATTGGTGCGCTGCCCGCGCTGATGCGCAATGTCGAGAGCTGTGCCACGCCCACAGTGCCGCCCAGAACGCTGGTGGCGGAGCTAAAGGAGGAGATCACGCGCGATGAGAAGAGCGCATTGAAGGACTCCATCGAGAATCTAGAGATTCTGCTTAAGAACAACATCAGCCTCTCGGATCTGAGCAACAAGCAGCAGCAGAATCTGCGTGGCGAGGTGGTCAGCTGCAGCAGCTCCGCGACGGCCACGCTTCGCAAGCGGGACACCATCGTCAGCTTCCATGTGACCGAGACGCTGACCACAACGGCCGCGTTCACACAGCAGCAGCGCAAGCGGCGCTCGGTGAGCGCCATGGCCACCAGCTGCACCACCAGCAGCAGCTCGACCACCACCACGACACGTCTGCTGTCCAATGAGAGTCAGAGCTCCACGCACACGGCACCCGGCACGCTGGAGAGCGGTGGCAAGGCAGCCGAATGCCTGCGCGCTGGCTTGGACACGGATCCGTTTCCGGATGCGGATACAGAGGCGGGTCAGGGCCACGCGCACGATTGGCAGCCACGCACGGCCAGCCTGGAGCCGAATCGCAGCCCCATCAAGACATCGCAATCAATGAGTCCCATCGGCCTGGCCACCGAAGTCTTCGTGCTGCCCAACAGCCGTAGCATGATCCTCATCAGCAGCACGGGAAGCGGCAGCGCCAGCGGCAGTCAAGGAGGCAGCAGTCCCAGGGCAGGACTGCTGCAACAGGTTAGCACGTAAATAGACGCTGGTGGTGGTGGTGGTTGTGGTTATGGTTTCCAAAGCTCGCAATGTGTGTGTAAATATGTATAAATTGCGGCCGTCTGCAGAGAGACAGTGACGTTGTCAGGCTGGGGGATTAGAGGATTGGCTGCCCCAATATATATATATATATATAACATATATGCCCATCAATATTTCATCCCCCGATTGAATTGATCTCGCATTTGTTGTTGTTCCTTATAAGAGCTCATATACGACCAGGTGGCAACCCTGCATATCATAGCAAAACGAATTTGCAACAATTTTAGAACTTAGGCAGTACGAAAAACCTTTGCTGTTGCCATAGGCTAGAGTTAAGGGTGGAAGTCAGGTTCCTATTGTAGTCTTAGACAGCGGGCAGCCTAGAGAAGTGAAACAACTGAATTTAAACTCAATTTACAGGGTATGTAAACTACTAAGCTCTGTTACATACATATATCGAACTATGCAGATATATGTTGCAGCTATTCCAGTCAATTTCAAATACTAAAATGCAAATAGATTCAAGTAACAAATATTTCTGTGAAACAGTTTCCATATACGAATCGACAACTCTCAACTTAAAGTTTAGTTTTCAAGTTTTTCGAACTAGTTTCAATTGAAGGTGAGTTCGTAATTGGAACTGCGCTTATTTGAGTAATTGAATAAGTTCAAAGCCAATACCAAAACTCAAACTGTTAACGCGCTTTATGTGTATGTTAGTATTATATATATATATGTGTGTGTGTGTGTGTATGTGTATTTAATTGAGTGAGTGTGTGTGTGTGTGTGTGCATTTGTGAACGTCTCAATGTTGCTGAAATCAACACTAAATTTGAAATACTTAAACTATGTATAATACAACAAATACTTCAACTGAACTAAACCAAAGAGCAGATATACCAAAAAAAAAAAAAAAAACAAACAGATTACAAAAATCAATTCTCGCTGTGATTTCTATTATAAATGTATAGATTATTTTATAGACTTGTGTTACATAGTTTTAGCTTAAAACTCGAAAGCTTCAATGCAAAGATGTTCCGAGTTTCGATTTCGCAAATGTCGAAATTAAGGCGAAATTGCAATTGGGAACATGTTTGCAAAAATTGTATTACGATATCTCTTCGACTGGCGCCAACATGTGCCCAATTTTGAATTCGTCACAAAAAAGTCTTGTTGAAATTGAGGCGATATTGCAATTGGGAACATGCTTGATGTGTTGTATTACGACATCTCTTCGACTAGCGCCGACTTTAACTATAATTTAACTAAGTTTTTCTACAAAATGGCAGCTGTCGTAGCTCTACTGAATATATATATACGAAACATATATGTGTATGCATAGGATAAAACATATATCAAAGTACAATTGTGTCAATTTAAGTGGAAATGTTTAATGTTTAATGTTTAACGTAGTTCGCTGTTTGTTTCATTTAAATTCAATTCAATGTTAATTATTGTAAATGTCTCTCGCAAATGTTGTTAATAAAAAATGCGCAAATTACTTGGGAAAATTCGAAAATTCGCCCACTGAATAATAATTTATTATGCAAATGAAATTAAATTTATTTACAGCAAAACAAGCAAACAAACAAAGAGGACAATGCACAGCAGAAGGACACGTTAAATTTTGCGCGCACGACGCCAAAGGAAATAGTAGCCAAGCAGATGGAAGCCAAAGTAAATGCCCAGAATGGCCAGCAGATTGCGATAGAGATTCGACTCGCTGAAGCTGTACTTGTCCAGCACATCCTGCCCGGTGTGGAAGCATGGCAGGTCCGCGCTCTCCCCAAAGCAGGCTGAGAAGAGGGACAGAGAGACAGAGGGACGTGAAGAGAGGGAGAATCAATAGAGGGCTGAGTATATGCCCAGAAGGCTGCCTCCTCCTGCTACTCACTGATGTTCTGCACGCCCGACCATTGGGCAATTGTCATGGCCTCGTTCGCATAGAGCATCCAGGACAGAAATTGCGTCCAATAAAATGCCACAGGCAGGGAGCTGCAAACGACAGGCAAAGGGTTAAGCTTGGAATCCATCAACTTGGCCGTTGCTCACCTGATTTTGATGAAGATGCCCGACGTTATCATAATAATGTAATCAAGCGGCACCAAATACGCCATGGCCAGCGGCACCGAGTTGAAGGCCGTGGAAAAGAAGCAACCACAGGCGGTGGCCACATTCATCACCAGCACCACGCAAATGGCCGTAATGCCGAATGCATAGAAGGTGGCGCGCAGGCCCGTAATCCAATAGCAGATGACCACGAACAGCAGCGGCTCGATAATCATGCCGGGCAGCTGCCGATGCAAGATTAAAGCTTATCAAATAATCCTGAAGAGCTTACTAACTAACCCACCATGGCCAATATATTCGCGACATAGTACTGCGCCGTGGAGTACAAGCCGGAGCGTGTCTCACGCATGAAGAGCGGAAAGCCCTGTGGAAAGATGTTCAACACGGAGTACATGGGGTGATAGGTGTTCTCCGATATCATAATGAATAGCGTGCCCTGCAAGAAACCCAATTGAAGTCTGCTAAATTAAACAAGCCAATTCCATCAATCACCCACCTGTACCGCCTGCACGCCCAGTTGCGTCAGCTCCGTGGTGCCCGCAAAGCAGGCGCCTATGATAAAGGCCATGGCCATCTTCTGCAGAAATCGCATCCATTGAATTGTGGGATCGCGGAGCAGCGTCAGCGTGGCACGCAGCCAGACTACATAGAAGCGTCTATACCAGGCCACGCCCCGGAATGAGTCCAGTTCCGTGTCATAGGGAAAGTTGCCAGACTGAGCCATATGTATCTCCAGATTGACCAGCATATCCCGCTGCTTGGCCGCTGAGCTAACCGCAAACTGATCGCACAAATGCTGCGCGGAGCGCTGGGAGGCCTGCTCATAGCCAGGATCTGTAGCCAAGACACCGATGAGAAAATCCGCCGGATTGTAGGCCTCCGGGCAGTAGTAGCCGTGGTCCGCAAAGAAGCTTAACGCGTGCTGCGGCGAGCCCGTGAATGCCACACGGCCATCCGCGAGGAGCATCACATTGTTGAAGTTGTCAAACAGCTGGGAGCTGGGCTGTGGATAGCCAGAGGTAATACCACGAAGCAGTTCCTATTTAAGGCTCTTACCTGATGAATGGTGCACAGTATGGTGGTGCCCTTCTGGGCCAGCTCGTGCAGCGTGGCCACGAGCTGCTGTGCGCTGTACGAGTCCAGCCCGGTTGTGGGCTCGTCACAGAACAGAATCACCGGATTGTTGAGCAGTTCGACGGCAAAGGCCAAGCGTTTGCGTTCGCCACCGGAGAGCACCTTCTCATCGTCGCCGCAGCCAATCCGTGTGTTCGAGGCGGACAGCAGACCCGTGCGCTCCAACAGCTCCCTGATAATAAGACGACGCTCTTCGCTTGAGACGCGCCGATCCAGGCGTAGATTGGCCTGCAAACGATAAAAGCTAGTGATGCAGCTGAAAGATATTCAATCGGATGCAGACCATAAAGTTCAAATGCTCCAGCACGGTGAGTGCGCCAATGAAGAGATCATCCTGGTACACATAGCCGCTGATGCGATGCATGAAGGGTCCAACGCGCCGGCCATTGATCAGAATATCACCTTGAACCACAGTGCCACCTAAAGGTCCATGTTCCAGAATAGAGAATAGTTGATGCAGTGTAGGTACAGGGACTTGAGAGGGGGGGCTTATCTAATCTAGGAGTCTGTAGATAACCCACCTTGCTGCCTATAGGCGAGTGTTGACATTAGCGTCGTCTTGCCCGAGCCGCTGTGAATGAGATGTGCTTCATTAGTTGGGACATAAAACTATTTGGTTGGAGTTAAGCCCCGTCTTATCAGTCAAAGATTAGCGCTTCAGTGCACCATAGCACGCTAACCATAACCCAGTTTTATGGAATGGAATTTCTGGTAGGCATACAAACTAGTTTCCACTCTTTGACAGCTCCATAACCATATCGATTACTTGTATCGTGGCCACAGAAGCGTAGCTGAGGCTCACCTTGCGCCCATCAGAGCCATCAGCGAGCCTGGCTGCACAGCGCCTGTGGAGTTATTGATGATACGCTTCATGCCACGTGCGGAGCCTACATTGGTGTACACGCACAGATCGCGCCAGACCAACGTTGCGCCCTGCTCCGTGGGCGACCATTTGCTGTAGCTGCGCAGCGGCAGACTGCGCTCGGAACTGTTGCGCTTGGACAGCTTGGGCGTGGTATCCACGCTCGGATTATCGCTGGACGTTCCATTGCCCTGACCAACGCGCACCGTCTGCAGCTCATGCTGATCCTGCGTTACCAATCGCCTGCTATCTGCATCTGACATATTCTATCTAGTTTTTAGTAACACCGAACCGACGAGCCGACACGTTCGGCAGCTAGTTGTTAACTGAGACAACTTTCCTTAGTGGCAGATAACTGAGGGCCACTATGCAAATGCTCTAGAGTCTAGACTCTACTGTTTCTGCGTATCTTTAGGGTGGCTCTGCACAGACAGAGCAGCGTTTGATCTTTGTCAGGGTTAGGGCGGTTGGGCGTGGGGCAGTAGCCTAAGCAGCCATCTCAAATTACTCCAACAGCCGGCGATTCCAGGCATAGGGAAGCCATCCAAGACGCCAGCCATCCAAGCAGTCACGCGGCAACGGGGAAACCACGATAGCAACGACAAAGCGAAGCGTCAATGGCTTGACATTTGCTGCCTCTGTTTTGCTCAGCTCATTCTCACTCATTACCACTACAGAAAATTAAAGAAAAACTGCTCATATTTAAAATACCAACTGCCTTTTTATCTTTTATTAGTGCATAATATGCGCAATTGCATGATTGCTGAAAGTTTCCATAAAGTCCAAGTGCTGAACGTATCCATGAAAATTTTGTGACCAGCCTAAAAACCAAAAATTTAACAATTGCCCAATCAGGTTCTTTTAGCGTATACAATGTCTATTTGTATTCATGCTGAACGTATCCACAAAAATCAAGTCTCTAAGCTGCAAAATAGCTGAAAAATCCGGAAAACTTGTGGCACTTTTAGTGACCACCCTAAAAACCGAAAAAATTGATCTGAATGAATTTTCAGATATGCCTGAAAGTATGCTGCACATATGAATGTCAGCTGCATATTATGGTCTGCCGCACAAAAGTATGCTACGCTAAATTGCTCGCAATAATTAATTTCCTTGCAGCTCCGAAAGTATGCTTCATCTTAAATTACAAATCTGTTACCTTTTGTGACCAGCCTAAAAACGAAAAGTTTGACATTTGCCCAATCAGGTTCTTTTAGCGTATACAATGTCTATTTGTATTCATGCTGAACGTATCAACAAAAATCAAGTCTCTAAACTGCAAAATAGCTGAAAAATCCGGAAAACTTGTGGCACTTTTAGTGACCACCCTAAAAACCGAAAAAATTGATCTGAATGAATTTTCGCATATGCCTGAAAGTATGCTACAGAAAAAACTGTCAGCTGCAAATTATGAACTGCCGCACAAAAGTATGCTACACAACATTGCTCTGGATTATTAATTTATGCGTAGCCCCGAAAGTATGTTTCATCATATATTTTGAACTCACCGGTTTAGTGTGCCGCACAAAAGCAGGCAGCATTAATTATTTATTTAATTTATTTGAAAGCTTAAATTACAAAATATATTATATTATTTATTCAACAAATGTAGAATTCTTTGTATCAAAACCAATATATAGAAAATTTTATTTAATATTTATGCACTAGAAATGATAAATGGTTTTGTCCAAAGGCCACGTGGCCAACATCCTGACGTCATGGTCCTGAGTTGTTTCTGTAGCAATCTGAGAAGAGAAGAAAATTTAAATTTGTTAATCAGGAAAACAAGCTGAGTAAGCGCTATTTACAGGTGTAAATAAATAACGTAGGGGAATAGTTTTAAGGCTCTACGAAACATACATGTTTTTTGACTGGGGCGGAAGTGAGCCTGCCTACCTATTATATTTTCACACTTCGATCCTCATTTTCTTCACTCCGCTTATTTACTTTAGCACGGCTTCGTGCTATGCGCGGTGTTGTCTCCTTGCCACCAGCAAGTAACAGACTGTTTCAGTTAACAGAGCTGCTGCTGCTACCTAACATGCTCGATGCCTTGCTCGTCAATCGCATTTTTCGCTGTTAGCGGGACTGTTAAGATTCTGCGCTGTTGTTGTTTTATACAGATGCAAGTCTGGCTTTCGGCGACGTTGCTCAGCTGTTCTGTTAAAAGCTCAATTAAAATGTCCGTTACTTTTAGGCTGTTGTTTGTGTGTGTATTCGCGTGTTAATTGATATAAATCGCTCTTAGTGCTGGGTTGACCGGCCCATAGAATACCCTATTTACTAAGACTTCAACATATTATTGAAGAAAAGATTGGAGTTAAGAAAATAGTTCAATAACTGTGAACAAGGATTCATGTTGCTGTTGTCGGAGTCCCCAGTGATTTAGCCTTAACAAATGCATTTTAGATCGACAATATACTCTTTTAGCACTTCTTGAATAGAGTATAACTGCAAAGAGAAAACGAATGAAATTTAATCTCATTCTTATACGCGCTCTGTTTACACTTAAGTATATGAGTGCATCCCGCTCAAGTAATGTGGAAGTCAATGGGCCTGATAAGAAATGTATAAGAATTGTAGTTATGCCTCGATAACAGGCAGTTGTCTGAGAGCGTCTCAGTCGAGCGGTACGTGTTCGTCTACGGATCGGACTGAGAGTTGACTGCGCCCTTAGCAGGGGGTAATTCAAGCTCAGGCCAGATCGCGTGTGTCTCGTTAACAAAAAAAAAAAAAAAAAAAAAAAACGGCATTATCACGACAATCTGTTTGACAAAAAACCCACATAGATCGGCTATCTCCGGCACGCCGAAGATCAAATACCCTTATAGGCATATGGCTCAGAAGTGTCTATATAAAAATACTTTCTATCCGACTTCTATATAAGGCAAATGATATAGTAGTCAAATTTGATACGGTTTGGCTAATTTAAGATATATTGATACATCATTTTTTTAAATATTTTTTTTTGTGACGCCTCTAAGAGTGAGATTATAATTTGCAGAAAGGCATGGATATATATCAACTCGACTTTAGAACCTGATCAAAAATGTATAAGCCACTTTTATTGTTTTTTTCTTTCCCGTTAATTTGTTTAAAGTTGACGAAGGAGGCGTTCCTTCTATGTGTTATACTTTTATAATAAATACCCTGCAAAAGGGTATACCAATTAGAAACGTGTAATTTAACAAGTTATAAGTGCTTACAATTGAATTTGGCAAACCAGACGGGTCTGGTAAAGCGATACGATAATGTAATGGGATCATGTAATAAGGTGTGAAATGTCGATGGTAGCAGCTGAATTCCGATTAGTGCATTGAAATCTATAGTCAATCAGTCTGATTAAGCTATGATTATAATGTAATTTATTGGCAAACAATTATAGCCATAAATTGTATAATAAGTAGAAATCACAGCACAATGCCAGGCAACAGTTATCGGCCCATAAAGATAAAGTATTGCTACACAATCCTAAATTTCTGTGACTTTGCCAAATGCTTAAAGTTTGAGTCTTATCGTCCAAGAATTTGACCCAGACGGATAACGGCTAAAAACCCAGCAAAAATTTGCCAACTTAAGGCCCAGATAAGCTAAATAGGCCATAAAAAGCAACAGAGAAAACGTCATAAAAGGCAAGTGCACAATAATTAAGACTAGGCAAACAGGTGCATGTACATATACATCTACATACAAATAGTAAACAAATTTTATTTATATGTGATTTACCTGCAAAAACAAAATGGTTTCGCAAATCAACATATCTTTTCACAGCGCGCTCAAATTCAAATTCGTAACGGCGCCAAAAAGCTTTGCGACTGCTGAGAGAGCATCAAAAGCTTTTATGCTTTGACTTTGACCGCGCACACAAATAACCAAAACGAGAACAAGGAACAACACACACGCCGAGTGAGAGAGAGTGCCGCAGAGCGAAACGAGCCGCTCAACTGAAATGAGCGCGGCGGAGGTGAGTGCGATGCGACATTTATTGTAATTCTCTCGCGTCTTGGTTATGTTTTATTGTGTCGCCAGATGCGAGTGTGCAGCATTTTCCGCAATTCAATTAAATGCGAATTAAATCGAATTTTCGTAATCCCAATGAATATGCGCGTGTGTATGTGTGTATGATATTATGTGATTACGTGCATCCACATGTGCCGACATGTGTTACGACGCGCCAAGAAACTGACTTGTGTATGGCATGCCGCATTTGATACAACAGACAACAAATACAAATACACAAATGTATTAGTTACAAACAATAGCAAACTAACTTATTCCAAGCATGAAGTAAACAATACCATTACATAAACACGAGGGTTGCCTCTAATATTGTGCAGCTAATAATACAAAAATTAGACCTTAATTCAAATAACATTGCCAACATATTCCTGTGATATATTTACAATTTATAATGTATATGAGTGGTCGGTTATTGCCAATGCCTTTAGAGTTGCGCCCGAAATGTTAACACTCAGGCACAATTTAAAAAGCAGCCCTCGCAGTGCTCGTGTTTTTGTACTCATATACTCAATGTTATCATATTTTGCTTTAACAAAACAAACCAAAATGCCGCACAAAACGTGTTTTGCTAAAGCTTTTTCTTAGCGGAGCTTTCAAGCGCTTGCTTGCTCACTTACTCACACACACACACACACACACACACACACACACAGGCAGGCAGTCAGCGAATTGCGCCTTCTAAGCTGCTGCGTTACCAGCCAAATACTCTCACTCCACGTCGCCCGCTCTCGCTCTCTCTAACTTGTTATAAAAATCGTGCATTATAAAAGTGTTGCCTACTTTCAGGGTGGCTCAGAAAATGACAGACGCGACAGCATTGCGAGCAGCTCGATTGCCAGCAACAATGCCGTCGCCGTTGCACCGCCGCGACGCAGCTTCGGCCAGTGGCTGTTGCACTGCATCACCTCCATTTCCGTGGAGCCGACCATGTTCCTGTACATGTTCGCCTTCATGATCACCTCGGTGGTGGAGCAGAATTTCTTTCTGCAAAAGGCCTGCAGTGTGAACAACAATTTCAGCGCCGAGATCTGTGCTAATATCAATAAGCCGGAGTACGAGCCGTACAAGAAACAAGTGCTGGACACTACCGCCTGGTTCCATCAATGGGAGGACATCTCGGCGCATGTTTTTCCCATTATTATAGCATTGTTTCTGGGCTCCTTTTCGGATCGGCGCGGTCGCAAGCTGCCCCTCCTGATGGGTCTAGTGGGTAAGTTAATCTACTCGAGCATGATTGTGGTGAATGCCAAGATGCCGACCTGGCCCGTGGAGTACATAATCTATACGGCAACGCTGCCGTCGGCGGTAACGGGTGCCGATGTGGCCATATTTGCCTCCTGCTTTGCCTATATATCGGATATAACAACGCTGCAACAGCGCACCATTAGGGTGACCATATTGGATGCGATCTACCTGACCGCAATGCCAACGGGTGTGGCATTGGGCTCCTTTCTGTTTTACAATGTGTTCAATCAGTCCTATGCGGACATGTTTGCGGTAAATGCAGCCCTGCTGCTGCTGGCCATCATCTACACGCTGTTGGTCCTGAAGGTGAGTTCCGCCGTGCTCCACTTGAACTCTTCTTGAACCCTCTTCTGCCTCGATCCCAAATCAGTGGCAAACGACGCCCAATCAGCGATCGCTGCGCGAGCTGGGCTGCTGCGGCTTTTGGGGCGATTTTTTTGACAGGCAGCACATCAAGGATTCGCTGGGCGTGCTGATGAAGCCGAGACGTGGCCACAGGCGCAGCTTTCTGTTTATTTTGCTCGCCAGCATGGCGCTGTACACGTTCCAGCGGGACGAGGGCAACTATTTGTATTTGTATACGTTCGACAAGTTCAACTGGCAGGTCAGCACCTATAGCACCTTCAAGACCTTCAAGTCGACGGCCTTTGTGATTGCCATGCTGCTGGCGGTGCCGCTGATGAACAAGCTGCTCGGCTGGCGGGATACGGTCGGTGGTGCTCTCTACTCGAAAGGCTCAGTCAAGTTTGATAACTGATTGCTCTCTGCTCTCTTTTGGTTAGACCATCATCTTTATTGGCACCTGGGCGCATGCGATTGCCCGTTTGTTTTACTATTTTGCGCCGAATCCCACGCTGTTCTATGCTGGCGCCGTGGTCTGCAGCTTGGGTCCCATTGTCGGGCCTATGATCCGCTCGATGACCTCCAAGATTGTGCCGCAATCGGAGCGCGGCAAGGTCTTTGCCCTGCTCTCCGTTTGCGACAATGCGGTGCCATTCATTAGCGGCGTTTGCTACTCCCAAATCTATCGAGCCACGCTCAACACGAATCATGGAGGCGGCGTCTATCTCCTGACCATTGGCACCCAGCTAGCCGTCTTTCTGATGATACTGTAAGTAGCCTATGCTCCCAAATCTAAGTTTTGCTCAAGCTAACTTTCTGCTGCTGCAGCTGCATACACATTGTGCTGGGCCGGAGCTCACTGGCGGTGCCCGAGGTGCCCGAGAAGGAGAGCGGACTGATCAGCAACGAGGATGTTCAGGACCGGACAAACAAAGCGGACCAGGAGGCGCATTGAAGACGCCCGCAATTATTTGCATTCTTTTTTTTTATCAAGCCAATAAAGACAAAAGATTTGATATATATATTTTTTAAACTCACCCCGTGTTCGATTCACTTGTTCTTGGAGAGCGTGCGCTGTTTCTCGGCATGCTCCACCACCTGCTCGTCGACGAACAGGCCTTTGCGTCGCCGGACGCTGTCCATGTAGAGCTTGGCGCGATTTGCCGAATCGGCTTTCTCGCCAAAGTGCATCAGTTCCTCCTCGGTTGTGGGCAGCCAGAAGGGATCAATATCAATCACCTGCAAGAGCAGAACGCAAAGAAAGATCAGCCGAGCACCTTTTCCAGGAAATCATTTAGGCACAACGGGCCAGGGCGGGCCAGAGCCGGGCAGAACAGAGCCGGGCCACTTGAGTGAGGACAATAGAGCATATACAACGGCGTCGCTGGGTCTATGCGCCTGCGCCTGCGCCCGGATTCGATTCGATTTACGTGATATTTTATGAGAGTGTGTGCGTGTGTGTGTGTGTGTGTGTGTGTGTGCCGGCAATCAGGGAAAGCGTGCATTTTCACATCTTCATTGTTGTGCTCAAGAGCTGGCAAAGACATTCAAATGGCTGTTGCGCATCTTTAATGACTTTTTCAGCGCTGAGTGGAAGGACACAGCCATCCATTGCGTGATAAGGCACGCCAGGATACGAGGAATTTTAGTGAATGGCGTGAAGTATTTGCCAGTGATTGATGATTGCCAGCGCTCGCCACTTGGTTGTGCGTGTGTATCTGCGAGTGTGTGTGTGTGTGTGTGCGTGTGTTTTGTTTTGTTGTGCACACTTGAAACGCACAGCGGGCGGGTGTCAGACGCTGTGTTTGCCGTTCTGCGGAAAGGCTGACCGAAAAAAAAGCAGCCAGCGCTCAATGCCAGGAACTTTTGCGCTGAGTTGAGGCCAGGATTTGGTTTCAGTTCGTGCGCAGAGAAACTTTTTTGTATATACCCTGCAACCACTGGAGATGGGGTATCATGACTTTGTGTAACAGACAGAAGAGGATCTCGAGGACTTCAAGAGCTGAAAGCTCGAAAGAGACTTGACTGAAGAGACTCTATTGTTCTGGAGCAAGAACTATCTATTTTAACTTTTGAATATCAGTCTCTTCTACACTTTGGTGTCATTTAAAGGTGTTGCAAACTTCGTAAAGATCGGGCAATAAACACCGAAGTTAGAACAGATTGCAATAGTTGTATAAAGGGCAACTGAAAGAAGAACAAGCACTTCCATATCATATGCCAAGTGCGAGACTTAACAACAGCATCTCGGTACTGGGTATTTTGCGAGTCAAGCATGCCCGACTAGAGCACTCTTGCTTTTTTTTTGCACCATCTGTTCGCACTACGCTAAACTGCGCTTCCAGAGCCCCATGTAGATGATTATCGGGCACAACGTTTCGCTTGTTTAACAACAACTAACAACGCCAGCAGACGGCGCACTGGGGCAGGGACGGGTGGCGGGGCGAAGGGGAATGTGCAGCAGTAGCCACCATGATCACGACAACGACACGCGGCCAGGCCAAGGCAGGGCAATCCCAAGCTCGAGCTCGAGCTCTGCTGTGTCTGCTATCCTTTTGCACATGCGCAACAGTCGACAACAACAACAACGACAACAGCAACAACAAGAGCCAAGAACAACAACAAGAGCAAGCTGAACCAAAGGGCTGGCTACTCATCAAGCTGGAGGGACGCTGCTTTCCCTACGCACAACGGTTCGTCAAGTTGAACAACAATACTCGAGCCCTTGGCAGCTGAAGTGCTCCAAAAGTGCGCAAAGCTTGCGTCTGAGCCGGTCCAGACAAATGAGCAGCAATCGTTGCATACACTCAGAGAAATCAGCATCAAGTCACCTGTCAGCACAAAGCCCTAACGCTTTTGCTACCCTTGCCAGTTGTGAAAGTCAGCTCAGTTTCTTTTGGTATGGCTTTTCGCTCAGTGTCCTTGCCGTGTAGCCAGTAACAACAACTGCCAAGGTAGGCCATAAAAAACACTCAAAGGTTGTTATCCACACCAGCTCCAGATTGCAGACGAGTCGAACGAGGAAGACGGAATCGTCTACCGGGAGGAGCGGGCGGGCTCAACCAAGAAATATGCTGAAAAAAGGCGCATATACGCAAATATTTAAAACACCCAGCAGTATTATCCAATCGAAGAGATCTTCGAATAAGGTCTGCTGATTACCAAAAAAAAAAAAAAAGCTGTAATTTTTCGAAAGAACTCTATTTGCAATCCACAATTGCAGAAACAATAAACGGATCAAAACATAACCGGATCTGTGATCCTCAATCTTATATAATATTCTGTTCTTGCAGTTGTAAGTACTCCGAAAATATTTATGGATTTCTCATATCTATATTGTACAATTTGGAAAATCAAAATATCTTTAAAATCGTGTTTTCCAATTTCATCGTAGAATTAGTCTAGACATCAAGAAAATTACGGATTTGGCATGCCTGTAAGCAACTAGACACCAAATTCTTGTAGGGTTCTAACTATGTATGTCGAACATTTCTGGTTTGCCAGTGGACAAAAGAATTTGAGAAGAAATTATCAGAACTTATATAGTTGAACAGAGCTAACAACCATGTTCAAAATTGTGGCTTAGATAAAAATCGGCTTGGCTTTAAATAAGTTATGGAAGAGTGAAGTCTAGAAAAAGGGCAACATAAAATGCCAAAATAATTTTGAAATCAAGAAAGAAGAAGAACAAGCAACCGGCCTCGACTCCCCGAAATGACTTTAATTGAGATGCCAAATGGAAAAATGAGGAACAAACTGATATACCGCAGGGAAATTGAATACCTTTTGATAAGGTTGTGAGTGAAATATGCGCAAAAGAAATCTTAAAATTTGCTTGCTAAGTTCAGTTTATTTTTTGTGCATAGTTTGGCAAAGGCTTTGATGATAATAATAAATCATGTGCGAGTACTTGGCATGGGCCTCAGCCAGTGCACTAATAAACACACGAGACGCGTGAGGCGATTGTCTGCCCGACTGTTTGTAAACGAGTGTGTATGCTTAGGTGTGTGTGTGTGAGTGTGAGTGTGTGTGCACACATGTGTGTGTATGCGCAGTGTGTTTACCTGTCCAGCCATACGTCCGCATGCAGGTAATTTACGCGACAGCTACCGAAATACGCTGACGTCGCAGCGCAGCTGTAGCAGGGCTCGGGACAGGGACATGGGTAGGGGTAGGGGTAGGGGACGTGGCCGGGGCAAGACCAAAATAAAAAATAAAACCAAGACGAAGCGCGGCCCGCAGTCGAGATTATTATCGCGCGCCAGAAACAGAGCCAGAGACAGAGCCAAAGCCGAGTGCTGCGGGCAGAGCTGTTGCTGCTGCTGCTGTTGCTGCCACAACCACAAGCAAATCAACAGCAACAGCAACAACAACAACAACAACAGCAGCAGCAACGGCAACACAAATGGAACGTCCGTTGCGCATGCGCTGCAAAGTCGAGCTCCGTCGACCCGTTGCCTCGAGCCTCGACGAGCGTCATTTTGACAGCGCGCACAATGCAAACCACGTTCCACTTAAGCGCAACAACAACACCAACAACACCAACAACAACAACACCAACAACAACTACCACAGCAACAACAACAAGTGGCTAAAGGATTGCCACAGCCACTTGGATAAGCACTTGCCAGCTCGGACCTCGCGCACAAAACTTATAAATACACAAACACACACTCACCTGCACAAGTGTGTGTGTGTGTGTGTGTTTGTGTGTGTGCTATATGCAGCGCAGACTTTAGGGCACTGCCACGGCCTCAACCTCAACCTCAACCTCGGCATGGGGCTGCGTTCCGTGCTGCGCCTGCTTTCCACCAATGGAGACTTTCCCTTTGCTCTGTGCTCTGGAGCTGCTGCCTCTGCCTCTGCCTCTGCTGCTGCTGGTCTGGAGCTCTGCCTGTTGCCTGTTGCCTGGTGCTGGGGGTCTCTTCAGTCTCAGGTACAAAACGAGTTATCAGATTATTTGTTATTTGTCTGGGTCTCGGGCTGTGCTGTTCTTTTGGGTTCTGCTCTGTTTTCTTCTTGTAGTATGCTCTTCAAGTAGTTTTCAAGTTATGTCTCGCGTATGCAAAGCACGACAACAACAACAACAATAATAATAACAATAATGTGCGACGCGTTAATGATAAACACTCCAAACAAGAACAACAACAACAACCATAACAAATGAAAGGCATATTTGTTGCCCCCGACCAACCCCCAACCACAAAATCCCATTCCAAAATTTGGTTAGACTCAAAAGTAAGACCAGTAGCCAAAGCCGTTGCATTTGGTGGAGCTGAAACCGAAAATGGGGGATTTGGAACTGAAATAAGGTCTACATAAAAAAGACCTTGGGCCACGGTATGACCTGGCTATAAGAGAAGGCAGTTAATGTTTGGCAAAAATGTTATAGAACAAGTAAACATTTCAGTTTGCTTCGGATACTAATTAAATTGAAATACCATTAGAGAGTTTGTTTGTCTAATTAGAATTCTCATCCTTAAGCTATATAAAGCAAAAGGAAATCAACCTGAATTGAACTAGAAATCATTTATGATGTCATTAGGGATATTCCATATTAAAAAAATAACAATGATGTATTCTTTTATATTACGCAGATCTCATTTAACTACAGTTTATGAAGCGCTGCTTATGAAATAAATTTATTGAAATGAACAACTTATATTGTCATTAGGGGCATTCTGCATATAAGATAGGTAATCCAGAAGGTAACAGACAATCAGAAGTCCATGGAGTTGCATTAAGTGTCCAGTTTATAGAACAATTGTCATCAAAGAATTATAGCAGGGTTATTGATGAAGATCAATTTCTAAGTATCTTTAGTAATATTCTTTGTCAAAATATATACTATAGATTTGTATAGTCAGAAAAGTGGCATCAGCTGTCCAGTTTCTAATGTAGTTTTTACAGCTTAACCTATCGATTTGATAAGATCTTCAAGATCTTTTCTAGAGATTTCACAATGAAGTATTTGCTTAGACATTAGCTCCACTTGGTATATAACCTAATTACATGCATAATTAAGCAATAAATGCGCACCTGGATTTCATAATCCTAAAACCTTATATACCCTTTATGCTGTCATATCTTTTACAGGGTATGATGATTTATGCAATCCACATAGAGCAATAGTTTAAAGAAAAACGCATATGACATACCTGCCGCAGGCACAGCATACCCCAATGCTGTCCTATTTTTACAGGGTATACAAAATCAAATAATAACAAAAGCGCGCAAGACGGTAGCAACGGCCACAGTAGCAACAACAACAACAACAACAACAAGGAGCGTCGCGCAAAGATATTTATGCTGGCCATACCACAGTTTGTGTGTGTGAGAGAGTGTGTATATGTGTGTGTGTGTGTGTGTGTTTGAGGCTTTAATGCGTTACGTGAGTGAAAAATATATACTTAAGTTTATATGAAAACTGAAAATTAGTTTTTGTTGCCGTTGCGGTTCGGCCAGAAAGGTCGTCGAGCGGGGTCAGGCTGCAGAGGCTGTGCTCAGGTGTTGTTGTTGCGGTTGTTGTTGTTGTTATTGCTGTTGCTGTTGCTGTTACTGCAGCTTAACGAACGCATTGTAGGCCATGATGCGGCAAGAAATTTAAATGTAACCAACTTCCCCTCCTCTCCACCCGCCATCCACTTGGCCCACTCGAGGCCGCCTTCGTTGTTATTATGGGCACGTGACAACTGCGCCCACGCCCGCGGTCAGTCTTGGACGGACGCTCACGCATGCGAGTGCTCTATGGATGTGGGCGTGGGCGTGGGCATGGGCATGGGCGTAGGCGTACACGCTGGCCGATTGGGCGTACTTTGAAAGTGCTGCAGCAGCAGCATGGCATAACTGTTTAATTGTTGTTGAAAATGTCGGCGGCATTTAAAAATGGGCGAACTCAATCGCCAGGTGACACACATCACAGCGACTGTTGTCGTCGTCGCATTCTAATTGCTGAAAAGACACGGCCTTAGCTTTCCATTGGCTTAATAATGCACTTATTTGTGCTGCTGGCCAAACTAGTTTCCGTTTAGATTTCTACCAAGACGCCACGGAAAGTTACAAATGTGGCCCCAACCCATCCCCCACTGCCCACCTCCCCACCTCCATTCGACGGACGCTGGAAATGCGTATGAAATTATACGAAAGCAGCAAAAAGACAACAGCAACAACAACAGCAACAACAACAACAACAACGTCGCCGTAGACAACGTTGCCGGCTAAACTTCAGCTGAGAAATAGAAAATCACCGGAAGTCATTATACAAAAACTTGTTGTTATCGATTGGTTGGGCGATATACTACACACACACACACACACACACACACACACACACGCACACACGCACACACACATACATGCACATCTCATACCTATACAAGCGCCCGCACTTGGAGATTGTTGTACACCCGACAAGTGAAACAACAATGCGATTTCATGAAGTACAGAAATAGTAACTAAATAAAATGCCTATCAAGGAGCTGGCATATGGAGATATATTACATAGAACAGCATATGGAATCTCTGACCTAAATGTATGATACGAATACAATCTCTAGTAATTATTGTACATCCAAGACTTCTGAGACAAGAATTGGTTTTGATGTTATATAAAAATCTCAAAGAAAAACAATTTGTGAAGGAATGAAGAAATCGATAGATATCATACAGAATTTTGTAGTGTATATCCTATATCCTATTTGTATATCCTATTTGTATATATATACATATACAGAGGCGCACACAGAAAGGCTGCAAAAAATAGCATAAGAAGTCAATTGTCCTGAGATTTAGTCTGAGGATAGAGACATGAAAATACATTGACTTCTCTCGTATATTTATATAAATATGTACACATGAGAAAGCTGCTTCTCACTACTTTAAGATTTTTTACAGTCGAATGAACTCAAAGTTCAATATTCAACTAAAAAGAACCGACATCAATAAATCAAGAACAGTTAACAAACTGAATAGGAGGTAAAATTATAACAAAGCATGTGATTTATAGGATATTCACTCAAAGGAAGGCCTGCGTCGATTGAGAACTATTGTATGCCCGACAAAAATAAAAAAAAAATTTGGCTTAAAAACAAAAAAATAATAACATAAAATAATAGCAAATAAAAATATGAAAAATAAACGTTTTAGAATAGTAAGATAATAAGTATTTTAGTTCTTTAAAACATTTGTTACTCGGAAGCAAAACCTATATAATAGGCTACTTACTATAAAAATGTTTATTCATATAAAATTTACTTTATAAGAACGAAAAGATATGATGTAAGATATAAGGGTCACAGATCGCTCAGATCTTTGTTAAACATGGGTTTAATCCTTAGATAATATAGGTTTTAGCCTTTCTCCAGCTTCTCATCAAATTTCGTTTTAGTTATAAGCTAGTTAAGCGAGCTCTTGCTAAAACCTAATCGACACTTTTGTGGGGTGTGCGCGTGCTGCGTCTATATTAATCATTTTTTGAGCGAGCCCATCCGCTGTTTGGGCCCATCCGCTTGCCAAGTGGGTATTGAGATCAACTTTGGGCTGCGTATTACCAACCACAATGCTCTGCGCGACAAGGTCAGGGGAAAGGCCGTTAACAACAGGCACTTGAAATGTGTTCCCTTTTTTTTCCATTGGATTTTTCTCTCTCTCTTTTTACAAGAATAAAATATTGCACACAGCTGCAGCAGTTCAAATGGACCATATAACTTTCAGAGCAACTGTTGTCGCTGCTGCCGCTGCTGCTGCTGCTGCTGTCGATGCCGATGCTGTGGTTTAGCTTATAAGACTTCAGCAGAAGGTAGCAAAAGTTAAAGCGAAGGTAAACTGAGATTTTTACTGACCAAAGACAGACCGCAAAGCAGAGAGCACGCACATGGCATATGGCCAGACACTGACTCCCGAGAGGGGTAATTTTGACTGCGTGGCGCACTTGCGCCCAAAAATCAAAGACAACAGCAACAATTGCAACAACAACAACAAGAGCAGCAGCAACAGGAGCAACAGCTGCGTTGATTGCACTTACCTCCCAGTGGCTAAACATTAGCTGGGGACAGGCCAGGCCAGATGTCTGTTTGCGCATCTCCTGGGCAAAGTTGAACGATTCGATGACGGGCAGCAGGCAGGTCACCGCGAAATTGCCGCTGCCCTGGGTTAGGTCGCCCGATAGGATTTTGCCGTGACGTCGTCCAATAACCGCATACATTTTACCTGCAATGAGTGCAGCAGGCAGCAAAGAGTTGTGAGTTTAATAAATGTTGGCAATATGTATAAAAATTAAATAAATAAACAATTGCGAATTTAATATATATAATAAATATAAATGAAATGTTCAGCAATGCGACATTTGTTGTTATAAACATTCACTAAAGTGCGGCGTACTTAAAAATAAAACTAAATAAATATAATTTAATATTTTATTTAATGAGGTGTAGAATATCTGTTGAAATATCAAATGAGAAAGAAACTCCGAAAATCTGTATTTCATTTGAAGAGACATTTTTTGATTATTTTTCAAATGAATTCGATCAATATTAATCAATATTTTTTTTATGTAGAATTTTGTCAAATAAAGTGTTCCAAGAACTTAACCAAATGTATGAACCAATGTCGAATGATAAGAATGTTGGCTAGTGGAATTCAGTTGAAAATAAGCCCAGCTTGATAGAAAATACTTTTTATATATACAAAAATATGAGAACTGAATTTGCCGAAGAACTATACCATGTGAATTGTCAGCCAAATATGGGACCCAACATATCGAATGATAAGAATGTTGACTTGTGGAATTCAGTTGAAAATACGCTCAATTTGATAGAAAAAGTTGACTGAATTTCAGCTTGCTAAGGGCCCAACTAAAGCTGGGTAATGAAAATGGAAACGAAATGAAATCTTATCGCTAGGCCCATAAAAATTGGCGCGCTTTCTTAAGAAGCGCGCGCTTTTCGCCTGAAACTGGCCATCAGACCAATCTCCAACGTGAGGCCGAAGACGAGTCTCAGATTTGTTTTCTTGCTTATTTTTTGGCATGCGCGCGAAATTAAACAACCAACCGAGCTGCCAGCAGCAACGGAGGCAACTTAAAAAAACCCACAACAACAACAACAGGGAGAAGCGGCCGCGGCAGACAATGTCGCTGGGCAGGAATTAGTTTCCGGTCGTAGTAAAAATGACAAAAACAACAAACGAGTAAAACAAAAAAACAAAAAAAAAAAAACAGAGAAAATAAAATAAAATAAACACAAGCAAAAACGGCCAAAAGGATGCATCGTTCGACGCATTGGCCGGCCGCAGGCCTCAGGCGACGGGGCAAGCGCTCAGCACGCGAGCCGGCTGCAGTGCAAACGAGCAACAGCAGCAGACACATAGATACACACGCACACCAACACACACACACACACACTCACGCACACCAGGGATGCTGTGCTGCCGGCGTCGCTGCTCGCAACATTCATTCATTCATAGCAAACGCTGCGGCCGACAACGTCGCCGTCGCAGTCGCAGTCGCAGTCGCTGCCGCTGTTTGTGTGTGTGTGTGTGTGCGTTCATTCAAGTCTTGGCCACACAGATACTCATTTACACACACACACACACGCTCTACGCTCGGCGGCAGTTGAAGTTGCCGTCGTTCGTTTTTCTGTTTGATCAGTTCGAATTGTGAGGTTGCACAGAGCAGACGACGAGCAGTTGACCGCGTGCCACAAAACTCGTTGAGACGCGTGTTTTTGTGTTTTCTATCAAATATTACAACGAAATCGACAAAAAAAAGAATATACTATATACCTGTAGGTGTATATGCGCGCAGTGCAGCAACAATCGTTAATTAATTCAACGATAATCGTTCATCGATCGTTGCCTTAAACCTGATTTTATATTTTTTGTAAATTGATCGCGTTGTGTGTGTGTGTAGCATGTTGCCAGCCACTGGGCCAGGCGGCCGTTGCTGCTGACCAAGGCTAATTTAAACCAGCAATAACAACAACAACAACAACAACAACAACACTTAAAGCCAAACTGCAATTGTAGCCAAAGCACAAACAGACAAAATATAATAATATTAATAAAAAGAAAAACAATCAACGTTTCGATTTGCCAACGACAACGGAGGCTGTTGCTTACAAAAAAAAACCCCACAAAAAAGTGTCAATTACAACAACCGCAGCCGCACAACACACCCAAACACACACACACACACACAATGGCCAGCATACGTGCGCATTCGCTGCTGCTGTTGCTGCGGCTTATGTTGCTGCCGTTGCCGTTGCTGTTGCTGCTGCTGATGTTGACAGGCGGCGCACAGAGCACGCGCCTGCCGCTGGAGGTGTACGAGCTGACGCCAACGGCCAGCGCTGACAGCGATGCCAAGCACAAGAGCTTGGAATATGCCATCTACGATCCCAAAGAGCTAACAGGTGCGCCCAAGGCAGCAGCAGCAGCAGCAACAACAACCACCAGCAGCACGGCGAGGCCAAGCAGCGAAAAGCCGCTAACTATTGCCGTGGTCAGCATCTCAGCGGAGCAGCAGCAGCAGCAACAGTCGGAGCTGGAGCCTACCATACAGGCGGGACGACGTGCGCGCCAAATGCTGCAGCAGCAACATCGACTGAGCAGCAGCAGCAGCAGCAACAAGCATGCGCACAGCGTCAAGGATATGCGCATACTCTACCAAGTTGGGGTAAGTAAAGAGAGGGACAAAGAGAGCGAGAGAGATAGAGAGAGAGAGAGAGATAAAGAGAGAGAGAGAGAGAGAGAGAGAGAGAGAGAGAGAGGGAGCTGCTAATAACAACAGCAACAGTTGCTGCTCAACGGCAACAACAGCGCCTTTTCGCATTGATCTATGCAAACAACTTGTCGGCGATTGCATAATGCAACGGCGACGGCAAAAGCAACAGCAGCGACACCTGCTCCAGCGACTTGCTAGCCAAGTTAGTTGTTGTTATTGCCATTTGTAACTGGCTGATAGCCCACGCCAAAAAGTTGTAGAAAAAACAAAAAAAAAATAAAATAAATGCCGCCAACAGCAGGTTTGCGACATGGGGCTGTGGCTGTAACTCGCTTTGGGCATTGTCTATATTTAGCTGCCGCCCTATGGAGATTGACGTTCTGAAAAGCCATTACACTTGACACCCACCAAAACGGGGCACATTTAATTGCAACTGCAGCAGCAGCAGCAGCAGCAGCAACAGCAGCAACATCGCTCGCTCTATATGAAAAATGAAAGTTGTTTGTTGCCTCGCAATGTTTTCCATGTCATTTGTTGTTGTTGTTGCTGTTGTTGTCGTCGCATTTGATCAATTAAATTCAGCGTTGAGCAATTGCGATACCTTATAAAACAATTAGTGCTGCGGGTCAAGAGTTCAATATGTTGAGGCACGAACAACGCGCCGCATGACTAAGCCAAGTTGCGCCCCAAGCTCGGCTTCGATACGATCTTTCCACGAAAAATTTGCTGTAACAGCAGCAACAGTTGTTCAAGCGAACATTCAATCAAACTTATTGTAACCTAGCCCATAAATCATGCAACTAGCTGCAGTTGTTTTCCCTATACATGCTCGGCTTAAATCATAGACTCATATCCAGCAAACCTCGTTTGGAAACAAAAACAAAACAACACTCCCTAGTTGAGGCTGAGGCGTGAAATATCAACAACAATCAACACAAAAATATTGACACTCTAAACAAGTCAAAGAAATGAGGCTAACTATACACTGAGAGAACGAAAAAAGAGTCAATTTATTTTCCAACTTGCAAGTGATACGAATCATTATAAGTAATGCAAACATAATGTCAGCAATTGGAATCATTATGGCAAAGGGTAGATTTTCAAAAAAAAACTGAAATTATGATCAAAATAAGGACAACATACTGTGATATATAAAAAACAATGCAGTTAAAAGAACGATTCCCAAAATAACTTCAGATTTCCCAGACTAGTGAATGTCAGTTGAATACGTTGTTTTGCTTTTGCTAACAATTCTTTGAACTAGCCACACTTAACATAATAATGCTAGAATTTACTACGAATATTTCAGTACATAGCATGTGTTTCCTTAAGTGCAGCCAGTCAGATGTCAGCAGAATTCCTTAAATAAAAAAAACCCAACTATATACGAAAATCAAGATTAAGAAATGACTTCTTTCGAAAAATCCTATACTTTGTTGTTGTTAATCCGAATATTTAAGTCCAGCTATATTCAAAATAAACAGATTAACAAATCAGTCTTAACTTAACATAAGAATTTCGAAAGCTAAAATAATATTTATAATTATTTGCTATCTTCTGGAAGAGCTCCCATGAAAATATATAAATATTGATTTCTGCTAAAGTTAAGAATCCTTTTCTTTAGCCTGTTCGAAAAACATATTTTATAAATATTATTATTATTATTATTCCCAGATTTTCGTATGTTTTCTCTATTTGTTAAACGTAGTAATCCAATCGTAAATCTAGCCTCCAGCTAGATCGCAATAGCTAAAAAACACACATAGCTACCGCTACGGCTGGGCTCGGCATGGCTCGGAGACGCACCATCAGCGTGGCCCATAAATTTCAAAATCCGTATGTCTGCAATAAATTTTGGAAGGCATAAAAAGAGGCAAGAACAACGCCTAAAATAGAAAAAAAGCCAAAATTCCTGTTCGAAGAACAAAACAATCGCTAAGAGAAGCGCAGAGAGAGGCAGTGCGAGTGTGTGAGAGAAAGAGAGCGGGAGCTAGCTAGATAAAGTTTTTTTCTTTGCAGAAGAAAACAAAAAGTTCCCATGCTTAAAAGCGTTAAACATTCAGTTCCGGTATTTAAAAATGTTTTCAACAATAATAACAACAACAGACAGGAACGTGAAGCGAGCAGCAGCAGGGAGATTGTTGTGTGTGCAAGCGAGACAGCTGCAGAGAGTGTGTTTTTGGAGTGAGAGAGAGAGAGAAAGGGGCGTGAGGGGGGGACGGCCAAAGCTGAATGAAAGAAAATTCATGAATGAAATACGACGAAGCGATGGCAAATGGCGTTGCCAGCGATGAATGGGCGAGAACTGTGACTGTTCGAGGAGTGACAGAAGGTGCGAGCGGAGGGGCCAGGAGACCACGACGACGACGACGACGAATGAATGAAAACGTAAAACGCTGATGGGACGGCAACGACAGCGACGCTAACTGCGACGCCGACTGCGACTGCGTTTCGCTTCGTTGGGCAAGTCAATCTATGTTTGAATGGCAAAGCGACAGAGCGTCCAAATGTTTGAATGGGTAATGCCAACAACAACAGCAACAGCCACAGCAACAACGTTGATTTGTTGGCCATATACAAGCAGATCAGCTACGCATATTTGGCTTAAACAACTCGAAAAGTTGTCGCTGTGCGCGTGGCATGGCTAAAAGCGGCTAAAACTCGAGCTGTTGCTGGCGTGCTGCTGGCATGTTGCTGCTGGCTGACGCCAACAACATGAATGACATGTTGTTAAGATCTTGGCATGAGTTAGGCAAAGTGCCTGGCCGAGCTAAGAATTCCAATTGACTGAGAAATGCATAAACAAATCAAGCATAAACATGTCTCAGCTGACAGTCGAACGGACAGACGAACGGACGGACGAACGGAGCCAGACACGTGGGTGCTTTTATTGTTATTCTTGTTGCCAGCCAGGTGTGAAAACGGCATTTTTATTTATTTTTTATATGGCCAACTGTGCGTATGCGCAATGTGAGCCACAGTTGTTTATCGAAACGAAACTCGAGCCACGCCCTTTTTTTTAAAAAAAAAAAAAACAACAATGGCCACAACTGTCTACAATTTTGTATTTTTGCTATCTTGGGCATTTTTATGATAATTCCGCCGCAGGCATTCACAATAAAAGTGTCGTCATAAAAATTTACGAGCCTTATGATAACTGGCTTTCAAAGCCGAATCATACTATATTATATCCTACATGCATGTGTGTGTGTTGTTTTTGGTAACACTAGCTTGAAGGTCGTTATGGTTGTGTGTGTGTGTGTGTAACTGATCTCTGGCCGTAAAACATCTTCAATGTGTAAGTCGCGTTAATCAATAATCACGAGCTATCACGACTTACAAACGCGCATTCCAGAGACTTCCAGAGTTCCAGTTCGAAGCGTAGCTCATATTACGACTTGAACTTCTAGAGGGGTTTCGTTTTTTATTTTCGCATTCTTTTATAATTTTTTTTTTTTTTTTTATATTTTTTCTCCATGCCTTTCACGTCGGGGAATGTTTTTTATGCTAAATTTAGAAATTATTCAATGTGATTCAAAGCGAAAACAAGAAAAATAAAATACAATCAAATGTCCGAAGAGAGTAGACAATAATAATAACAACAGCCGCTGCGGTTGTTAGCTATGTCTGGCATAAATCATGCACTGAGCGAAAATTATCTAAATAGAATCTAATCAAAAGCAAAATAAATATTTAAATAAAATAGACTTTGGACTTTTTATTATGCCACAAAGAATTCAACAAGCACAGAAGCCAAATTTCTTAGCTGCGTTTAGCATATGAAATACACTGAGCGAAAATTACCATTAGAGGAACAACAAATATTTAACTAATATAAAAAAGAGATGAGTAAATAGACTAGAATTTCTATAGCATTCTAGCAAGAATTCAAGAGCACGTAATTTCTCATACACTGAGGGGAATAGTGGAAATAAATAACATATACTTTAGAGCACTTGCATTAAAAGGTGCACTTTTCTCGCGGTGCACTTATGAGCAAACATATTTTTAATAATGTCTAACGCATTAGCATAAAACGCACAACAACAACCTCAATGACAACAGCAACAGCAACAACAACAACAACAGCTATAGCATAGCACAATTATTCACCTAAAAAAAATTCCAGTTCACAATTTTTAGTGAGCTTCATTCAGAAAAATGCCTGAAAGCCAACTACAACCTGAGCCAACGGATGCTCGGATACCGAAAAACTAGTTTGCCCACTTTTTTTTTTACCCCGCTCCAAGTTGTTGTTGTTGTTGTTGCACCTATTGCTGTTGTTGTTGTTGTTTCTGTCGTGTTGCTCGAGGCAATCGGCTCAAGTTTGGAACTGGCGCGCGCGCCAAGTCAACATTTTTTTTGTATGCGACTTGTAACAATTTTTGATAAAATACCAAATGAAAGAAGAAAAAAAAAAAACAAAAAACATATACGAATTCGATACATGTTGCTGCGGGGTGCAAGAGCAACACATTGGAAAAGCTAGCGGAAATGTTGCTCTGATCATCGACTGCTGTTGCCCAGTTTCCGTTTCAGCCAAGACCTTGTTACATTTATTGACGGACACGTTCCAATTTGGTTGCTTCTGCCGTGGCATGTTGTTGTTGCTGCTGCTGCTATCTGTAAGTGTGCTAATTACGTGCCAAAGGCGCATTGTTTACAGCGGCTGGCGACGGCAGCAAAAATAAATAACTATAAATACGCAAACGGGGCGCGTATTGCTGCTGCTGCTGTTGTTGTTGATTCATTCATTCATAAAAACCGCGCGCGGGCAATAACAACAACGGCAACAACAACAACTGCGCATGTGTTCATTAAACAAAACAACAGACTGGTTTGGTGCGCCGCATGGCGGGGTGGGGCGGCCAGCAACTGCAACTCGATCGTAATTAACAGACGAAGCGAGCGATCGAAAACAAAAAAAAAACGGCCACAACAAAAAGCTACGC